CCCTGATCTGAGGGGAGACCTGCGGCTGGAGGTGAGCCAGGGGACAGGGTAGAGACCTCTGACTGACTTCTTTCCCTGCCCAGAGCCTGGAACAATTCATGGTCGAAGCAGCCTGGGGCATTTTTCCTTTAAAATAACCAACAACAGCCCTGTGGCTCAGTGGTTGAGCATGACGTATGAACCAGGAGGTCAGGGTTCAATTCCTGGTCAGGGCACATGCCCGGGTTGTGGGCTCCACCCCGTGTGGGGCGTGCAGGAGACAGCCGATCAGTGGTTCTCTCATCACTGATGTTTCTCTCTCTCTCTCCCCGCTCCCTTCCTCTTTGAAATCAATACAAATATACTTAAAATAAAAATAAAACATCTTGTTTGTTCAAATCAGGACCCACCAAGGTCCGTGCAGCATTGCTCCCACCCGGGCTCGCACGCTGGGTCCTGGGCCTCTGCCAGGTGTTGCCTGGGAGACACAGCGCCCGGGAGGGACGGGGATTCCACACAAACATCCCGGCCGAACTGAGCGGGAGTTGAGTTCTAATGGACAACAGCTCAGCCTCGAAGAGTGAGGTCGATGGTGCTAGAAGCTTCCGTAGAGTTGTACCCAGCTGCTCATCCCCTGATCCCCAGTCGGGGGCAGGCAGGAGGCAGCCGATTGGTGGATGATTCTCATCTTTGATGTTTCTCTCTCTCCCTTCCTCTCTGAAATGAATTTTTTTTAAAAAAATTTTTTTATATATGTATTTTATTGAGTTTTTACAGAGAGGGAGAGAGATAGAGAGTTAGAAAGATCGATGAGAGAGAAACATCGATCAGCTGCCTCTGCACACTCTCTACTGGGGATGTGCCCGCAACCCAGGTCCATGCCCTTGACCGGAATCGAACCTGGGACCCTTCAGTCCACAGGCCGACGCTCTATCCACTGAGCCAAACCGGTTTGGGCTGAAATGAATTTTTTTTAAAAAAAGAGCTCAAAGGAAGGGAAGTTTGAAACTCCTATTGCCCCGGTGACTGCCGGGCCCCACCCTTGTCCAGAGCCGGTGGGGCCAGGAGCCTGCATTTCTACAGAGCAACGCAGCCCACAGCACGTCATGCAGGCGCCTGTGGCGAAGGCTTGGGAGCGGGTTTGTCCCGGGAACAGAGCAGCGTCTGGGTCTGTAAAGAGCCAAAACCAGTGCCCGGGACGCATGCGGCAGAGACTGTGTCTGGGTAGGAGGTATTACTGTACTGTTGCAAGAATGGGCTTGGCACCCTAAGGTGCCACTTGGTGGCAGCGTACCCAGGTGACATCACCCCCTCGGCCTCTCAGCCCATCCCACCCGGGCGGGAGGAGGCGGGGTGAGCTGGGACACAGGGATGAGATGGGACACAGGGAGGTCTGCCCACACTTGACCACAGGCAGCAGGCTGGGCTCTGGGCTCCCTAGTGGCAAAGAGGTGCTCCTCACACCTTTATGTTCAAATCACCTGGGGGACCATCTCAAGCTGACTTGGAGGTGGGGGGGGACCCCCAACGGTGCCTCTGATCTAGCCCCCTGGAGAGGCGGTGCTGCCACCAAGGGGCCACGTTGGGCACAGCTCGGGTCCCTGGGAGAAAAGCCTGCAGGTGAGCAGTCCTGTCACTCCAGGTGCCCAGAGCCCCGAGCAGGGCAAGCGCCCAGCCAGGCTCACATCCGGGGGCTTTTGGCCCCAAGGAGGCGGGGGAAGAGCAGCGTGCAGTCCGTGCGGGCGGATGCCGGGACGTTGCCATGGAGACGGGAGGTGCCGAGCTTTGGACTCTGTCAGGAAGGCCAGCAGCGCTTCTTCTCCCCCAGAGCACGTGTCCGAGCGCAGAGGCGAGCACCTGGCTCCACCGTGTCCCAGGGCAGCGGTGTCACCTGCCAGCTGTGCGGGGCCCGTTGGGAGGGCCCAGGGCAGGGATGGCGAGAGTCTGCCTGTGCCAACTGCGGGGCTGGCACATCGGGAGGCTTTGTGGGGGAGGGGCTACACTCCCAGGTGAGAGGCAGCCAGGGAGCAGGATTCAGGTCCTGAGGGGGGAAGGTGAGACTGGGTCTCCGAGGTGGGGGGGCCACTGCCCACCATCGCCTTCAGCTGCCTTCAAAGGGAGGAGCACCCAGGAGGGAGTCAAAGGAGCGTTGGAGGCAGTGACCTACTCAGAAGGTCAGGTCAAGGTCAAGGTCAGCAGGGAGGCCAGGAGGGCTCCACCTTCCAGCTGAGCCAGGCCCGGGTCCTCACCTGTGGGGGGCACTGTGGTGCCAAGCGAGCCTGGAGCTGTCACGCCGCCGGGCCTGTGCCTGTGCGTGGGGGCTGATGGGTTGTGGGAAGTAGGGCAGTGGCTGGGTGGGCAGGAGGATGGGGGTCCCTGTTAGGCGGGGGCAGGGAGAGCAAAGGACATGGGAGACGGGAGGAGGGACGAGGGCAGCCATCACACACCCCTCCCGGTCCCCACCTTCTAACAGCGTGCCCACACCGGCCTGCCCCCCTCTAAAGGGACAGATGCCGGGAGAAGGCGGATTACTGACAAAGGCTGGAGGCTGTGACCGGGTGCTCAGTTAGCGTGACCCAATTCTGAGCTATTCTGGGCCTGGTGGGAACAGAATAATTCCCTCCCGCTGATGCCATGCCTGCAAGCAGCCTGACTTTGAAATGCCCTCGGCTGGGCACAGATGCAGTGTGGGGAAGATGGCAGGGCTGGCGAGGCCCGGCAGGCCCTTACCTGCTTGCTGAGGACCCGCTGTGCCCGGTGCCTGCTGGGCAGGGAAGGCCCTGCTGACACCCACCCTGTGCTGTGGCCACACAGCTCCTCCCTACAACCTCAGATCTCTCTCATGCCTGACTTGAGGTTAGGCCACATACCAGAGGCTTGAAAAGTGCCCCATGACCCGACTTGTCCTTAATAGCTGAGATGTGGACAGACCAGCGTGCACAGGCCAGGCCAGGTCTGGAGGAGGGGCCTCCAGTCAGCTGAGGATGGCCAAGAGCAGCCAGGCCACAGATCTGAGAGGAACTGATGGCTTCTTTAGGCCTCTGAGCTAGTTTTCTGGAGGGAGGGGATATTTGTTATGCAGCACATCTGTGGTGACAGCTAACTGATACACCTGCCCTGAAAGGTGTGGAGGTCAACTGAAGAGCCATCAGCCCATGCCCAGCCAAAGGTTTTCAGTTGTTTTTTTTTTTTAAATATATTTTATTGATTTCTTACAGAGAGGAAGGGAGAGAGATAGAGAGTTAGAAACATCGATGAGAGAGAAACATAGATCAGCTGCCTCCTGCACACTCCCTACTGGGGGTGTGCCCGCAACCAAGGTACATGCCCTTGACCGGAATCGAACCTGGGACCCTTGAGTCCGCAGGCCGATGCTCTATCCACTGAGCCAAACCGGTCAGGGCCAAAGGTTTTCAGTTTTATTATGCAACTGACTATAAGCACAGTGACCAGATGACCTGCATTTGCCAGAAAAGTCTCCTTGTCCAATCTTCTCTCCCGGTTTCCCGATGAACTATTCAAACACCCCTGACGCAAGACAAAAGGTATTATCAGACCCAGAAGGAGCCCCAAGATTCTGGCCTTGGAATTTGACAGAATGGGGGCTTCCCGGTGGTGGCAGCCGAGCCCCACCAGGGATAGTAATCAGAGAGGTTCCCCGAGCACAAGCTGAGCCCACATGGATAGAATAATCTCCCAGCGCCATTTTGCCATGCCAGAGGGCAGCTGTGACCAGGCAGGCACCCTGAGGGCGGAGTGGAGTCTGGCCACCTCCTGCCAGCACAGACCCAGCCCCTGCCCTTGCTCTGCTCCCAGTATGCACTTCTCCTGACTGCCTGAGGATCCCAGCTCACACCTTCCTGGGAGGGCCTCCTGCTCCCCCCACTCCAATTCCCAGCAGCCCCCAGACCCGCCTGGCTGCCAAGGCCTCTGAGTCTCTGGGAATCCAGCAGAAACCTCTCCCTCTGTCCGTGGTCACAGCCCCGGGACCTCGCAGGGCAGGAGTGTGTGATGTGGGAGGCCTGGTGGGCGGGGCCTGGAGCCCAGTGAGTCCAATCTCCTCTGTGCCTCAGTTTCTCCCTGTGCAGTGGGCAGGAGCACCCTCCCTCGGCCTGGGCTCTGTGCTAACCACCTGCTCACAGCCATAGGCAGGAGAGCAGGTGTGGCCTGGAGGACAGGCAGGAGAGAGCAGTACAGCAAGGGCCGGGGCTGAGGGCCAGCCTGGGTGGGGCTTCCTGGGGGAGGCGGTGGGCTGCTGTCCCTGCAGGCAGACCCTGATTCTGGCCTGAGGGTGGGATCCTGCCCGGGCCCTGGGGGCGGTCTGAGCCTCCCAGGGCAGCGGAGAGAGCTGGATGTGGCGCTGGGCCACTCCGCAGGGTGGGGCAGTGCAGAAATTTCCAAGGAAAAGCAGGGCCACGCAGTGTCTGGGCGGGGAGTGGAGTTACGGGATGAACCCTCGCCGTGTGACCAGCCCCATGCTGCTGACTCAAGGTGACCGCCCCTGACCTGACAATTGGTCACTCCCAGGCCCTGGGGTGAACATGCAGCACAGCACGAGATGCGGGGAAGTGGGGGGGCGGCTGAGCAGAACGCTCCTGCTCAGGGCGGGAGGGGAGGCCCGAGAAGGCACCGAGAGCCTTGCAGGTGCACAGGAGTTGGCCGGAGCTGAGGGCCAGCGGCCAGCCCCGGTGCTGGCCCCACAGCCAGTCCCCGGCTGGGCATCGGGTCTGAGGTCAGGGCAGGTCCTGGACACGGGCTAAGCCCCTGGGAAAGGGTGCTGGTTCCAAGGACCCCGAGGGGACAAAGGTCTCGCGGAGACTGCACAGCATGTGGTATCGGGGAAGCCACCAGCCTCCGGACAGACACTAGGAAGCTGCTCCTACTGCAGGTCCCCCTGGCGCTAAGGACCCACAAAACCTGGGGATGGCCTCAGGCCAGATGGCAGGTCTCGGGGCCCTTCAGGGAGCATGAGACACCAAAGCATATCTCTGAGTGAGAGGCAGGGGGGCCTGGGGGAGGGGTCAGAGCTCTGGGACACAGTTGGACATGCTCTCTCCTCCCACCTCCCCCTCCGGTCCTGGGGACAAGTGGCCCTTTTTGCAGCCGGTGGGGGTGGCCACACACTCGTCCTTTGTCCCAGTCGTCCAGGGCCCTGTGGTGCCTGCTATGCGACAGGAAGCATCAGGGCGGATGGGCTGCGTGCGGAGGTCCAGCCTGGGTGCTGGTGTGGGGGAGGGGCTCTGGCCTCCAGGACACAGGACCCAGTCAGTGTGCAGGGCAGGGCGAGTGTTTATTCCCCACCAGGCGGGCTGTGCACATGGTCCCGGGGCTGGGGCAGACGCCAGGCCCGTGTGCAGGGGCAGGGGTGCCAGCCACACCCAGAGCTGGAGGCCAGGTCAGGCAGGTGACATGTGCCCCGCCCTGTTGTCCTGCCCTCCATCCTGGGGTTGAGCAACGGGGGCTCCTACGGTTCCAAGCCTGGCTGGTGGGCAGACACACCCACCCCGGGCTCCTAGGCGATGGAGGCCTGTGTCCCAGAGCAGAAGGCAGCTCCCAGCAGGCAGAGGCGGCGGGCGGGCTGTTCCTGGGA